GGCCCCAGTGATGCAAGGCAGCAATGCTAAGCACTGTGCCATCACATCACCTAAGACAGGATAAACTCCAAGGAAAAAAAACAACAATAAAATGTTTTTAAAATAACATATGGGACAAAGATGTTTATTTTACAATAGTCAATAATTTAAATATATATATTTTAAACATGTGAGCTTTTTACTTCTCTTTGCATTTTTTTGTCAACCTTTAGCTTATTTCGCCCATAAAAGTGTTCAGTTTTAAGCATAGAAGGTTTGACTTAACCTCACTTTAAATAATTGGAAGGGGTGCCCTTGGTATAATCCACCACTGTCACCCATAAACCCCAGAACATCCTAGTTAGCTAACCTCATACTGAAATGCAGTGCTTTAATAGAATGTGAGTTAATGGAAATAACTGTGATCTCATTACTTGGTGATATGCATTTTTACTGTTTGGCGACTTGCAGAGCAATATCTTTTGTTTCTGCCCAAACTAGGCATGCTATGCAGTGCTTTTGGAATTTGACTTGAAGGAAGCAGTTTGTAAAACATAGGCAATATTCATTTCCAATAACATAAAGTTATACCAGATGTTTCCTAAAGGTAACGTTTGTTCAGTATTCATGTGCTTCCTCTGGGTCAGATTTCCACTAGTATGTTTTTTCACTGTTAAGCAAGCGATACTCAAATTTACATGCAAACTACTCTTGGCACTTACTCAGCTGTTTCCTCCTTAACACTCTGCTTGAGCAAAGCTAAGAATTGTACCATAAAATAAAAGCCTGAAAAGTACAAGATTGATTCCTCATACTAGCTTCATAAAAGGGAAAATTTTGAATTCATAATTCATGAGACAGAGTTCATATTCAACTAAACCTATCTGAATAAAGTAATAGTATTGTTTTTAATTTTTATTTAAAAAATGTTCTCTTCTTTTAAGAACATTTAACATAATAATACTGTTTACAATCACTCTTGTAAAAGCAGATACTGTAGGCTTTTACATGCTTTAGGCAACCTAAATTCTAATAAAAAACTAAATCTTATTATCATATACAGTAACTCCCATCTTGGTTTCTTGGGACCTGAAATGATTTGTGTTGTGCTGGTGGAGAGAACTCAAGATGCAGCATTGAGGAAACATGGATATCAGTATTTCTAACGGAGCTTTCACTTGTATCGGGGAAACAGTTTGGGGAAAATGTCAGCTTGGCTCAAAATATCCCCACAACCATCTTATGTTGTGGCTTGATGTTAAATTTAAATTCTTTAAGTTTGCATTCTTTAAAATGTGCTTTAGAGATGTAAATGTAAAAATGGATATGTGCCATTTTGTGTGCATGTACTGTATGGAACCATCTATTACATGTTTAAATCACTAGTTTTCCTTTTTTGTACAATCCTCTTCCCTCTTTTGACATTCCATGGATTTCATAAGCAATTATTAAATGTCCAACATTAAGTCTTCAGTTTCCATTGGTCAGGTATAAAGCCTCTGTGAAACAAAAAAGCTGTTTTGCTGTCAATTTTTAAAGTTCCTTTTTATCTGTGTTGCTATGAAAGCTACCGACATAAAACAAAAAAAGATATTAATCTAACGGGAAGACAAGTCAGAAACAGTTTGCAAAGCACATACTTAAGTACTGCTAACCTCTATATCTGATCATCAATTCTGATAGTATTTCTGAGCCTTTAGTTCAGTTGTCACCCTTTGTTTAGCAAAGCTCTTAAGGTCAGATTTTCAAAAACAGTTATTTTTGCTAAATGAAATTCCGAAAATGTTTTTTTGTTTCTGATTAGAATTTCAAGTAAAGTCAAGAGATTATCTCCATTTTGTTCATAATAGATTGTGAATTCTCCTGCAGCACTCTTTTGAATAGCAGAGCGTATTGGCAGTGATGTCAATTAATACAATGTAAGCTAATGTTATCTAGGAAATTTGGGAAAAGACTGGGCAGCAGCAACAAAGCTTCACTACTTGTTATTCCACCACTTACAAAACTTCTGTTGCTGCTTATAATCAGTACTAAAAACATACTCTCTTGTTTAAAGAATCTCATCACCCTTATGCATCTTAACCTTCACTCTTGTGTCTCTTTTCTTTTCAGCATGGACAAATCCTATACCTGTTCCTTTGTAGTATCTCACCTTGATTGCAACTCCTCACAAACTTCTAGTTACAAGTCCAGAACCGTACCCACTGCTCCACAGTGCTTTCCTACCTTGAAGAAATATGAGTGCAGTTCAAATGAGTGAGGATTGACATTTCATTACCAACACTGCAAGCTTGCTGGAACCTGGCACATTCTGTGGTCAAGGTGGTTGATATAGCAAGCCAAATACAACCTGGATAATTCAAGTCCACACAACCCAGATGGTTCTAAACTATTTGTGAACTGGAAATGTACTAAACGTTGCAGTGTGCAAAGGACACAGCACAGCCTTCAAAAGGCAACAGCTGAACTACAGAGCTTAGCACTCCAATGGAGTCTTCTGTGGTAAGGAATCTCAAAAGTCCACTGTGTTTGTAGTTTTTGTATCATTAAAGGCTAATTACTATGAAACTTGAGGCCCTGCCATTTTTAAAATTTAGTCAAACTATACAATAATGAAATTACAGAGGCTATTGACTGTTTATCAATACCCAATGTGCATTGAAATCTGAACTGGTGCTCATGAATACTTCAGATATTAGGCAACTGAGTGGTATAGTGCTCTTCATTCAGAGTACTGTAGCAAAGTTTGCAAGTTTAATGGTGCTAGTCATAGGAATCCAAGGGGTTTTTGTAATACTACAAATAGCCTGCTGAGTCATCTGTATGTTCACACTGCTTAGAGTTTCAGTGTAAACATTATGGACATGTCCAAAGATTGAATTTATTTTCTGTAATGTGACCTTTGGCCACATAATCTGAGTTTCCTTGGCTTAATGAAAGTAATAGCCCTCTGTTTCAGTATGTTCCTAAATGCACTGTCAGTAAATCAATGCTTTTCAGTTACTCAGGCCCTAAGTTCTTAAATCTATAAATGTGAACTCCAGAAAAAGTACTCCTTGTTGAAATGAATCATTTACAGTGGTTTCGTTGGATCCTAATGAATGTGACAGATGGATAAATGTTTTTAAAGGTTATTTGGTGAAACTCACCTATCTGAGAAAATGGCAGCATGATTGTAAGGATGAGGCTGACTGAATCACTGTTTCGGTTTCACAAGGAACGAGCCATGGAGCTGCTTCAAGGGTGTTTTTTGGGGTGGTGGGTGGGATTGCGAGAGATATATAAAGGTAAGTCCTGGATGCATGATTATATATGCAGTTGAGATGTAGATCTAATTTTCCTCCTGAACTTCTGCCACAAACTGTTTTTATCAGGGCACTTCTTCAGAAATTATTAAGTCTCATTTACTTAAATTCTGCAGCATGATGTCTCTTAGGTGGAACATTTCTTACCATTAAATTGTCTGCTTGTCAAAGTTGTAAATTAAAGTATTTCCTAATGGCTACCAGCCCTAATATATTTGATAAACGGATACAACTATTTGATATTTCACCGTATTTACCATAACGTTTAGCAATCCTTCTGTAATTTAATTTGGTTTGTATGAGCTGGTGGTTATCTCATGTCCCAACAGCCACCTGAGGTAGTGTTCCAAGGGTCTTGAGGGAAGGTTGATTTATGCACTAGGTGTTTACAGTTGTTAATACTAGTTTAAATTTTCTACAAGTTCTGTATTTAAATTGAGTGTTTCAATTTTGATTCTGAAGCCTGTTGACTTTGCCAATCTTTTAGGGCTTTGAATACTCGAGTCAGATCTCATTATAGTACTGTATGTGTTGTTCATTATGCAAAAATACAGTCCTTTAGCCTGTTAGTATAGAGCTGTCAATGAAGCCTGGCAACGTGTGCTAGTCTGTGGACCAGCTACAGAGCAGTAATATTTTTACTGGAAAGTGGTACAAGGATTGTACACACTGTTCTAAATGACATCTTACAAGTGCATTTTAGAGTTTTCACTCATCATCCATTTATTCTCCAGCTTTACTATGGTATTCAGTATATCCTAACATTCGTGTCCACATTGTCTAGAAGATGTAAGTATTATAAGCATTATCACCCAAATAATTTTCATAATTCCTCAGCATTTCCCACCTTAAATACATTTTAAATGTCTTCTATGTCCATGTAACACTTTATACTTGTGTATATTAAATGTCATCTGCTTGTCCAAGTGTTTTGAAACAAATACCAGGCATTTGGTAGAGCGAGGTATTTACTGGAGAAAATTCCCAGAACTACAATACCGGCACATGATCTGGTATTTGAACCTCTGACTCTTCAATCAGAAATCCTTATACCTTTATGTTATGTCCTTTACTTATTTATTTGTATCACTGTTCATTGAAGTTGAGGTTTTCCTGAAATACACTTGTTGGATCATTACTAAAACACAAGTAAGGTGCATAACCATGCAATGTTCTTTAGGTTTTATTAAAATGAAAAAAAAAAGTTTTGATGGGTTTTCTGACACTGTTGTAAATTTTGAACAGCTCAAAGGTTTTAAACTATAAAATTATTATTATACTATTATACTATATTTTGTTATGGAGAGAGCTGTGAAGCCATTAAAGCACTTTTTAAGAGAAAGTGATTAATTATACTGGAAGGTTTTGTATCTTTCTTGTCCTGAGGGTGACAGTTAAACAGAAGAGCTAATTACAATCACTTACAGCCATATATTGCTAATGTGGTAAGCTATTAAATGTTGTTGAACACTATAAAATGCTGTTGAACACATGAACTTTAGCTATTGTATATTATCAGAGATATTCATTTTGAAATCTGTATCTGGCTGGAAGTTCCCAATGTAATCAGCAGGATTTTATCTCTATGTAGGTGAATAGAGGAAGTGACAGGAGGAAAAAAAGCTTTACATGCTAAAGTCTTTAAAAGTAGGCTCTTTAAAAGTAGACTGAGAGTTCTTCAGCCTGTAGACTGTTGCAATGGTGATAAGGATGAGATAATGTCAGCTATGTGAGCATCATGTTTCAGCTGCATCTGTTGTTGATATTCATGTTACAGCAAGTGGGAACAGGGAGTGGTAAGACAGTTTCAGCATTGCCTTTAATTGTTGCTTACTTTTGAAAGTGAATGCGTGCTTTAAAAGAACTTCTGAAAGAAGGATTTAAAAGAAGGATTCTGAAACAGAATTATCTGTGTGAATTATTTGAGGGTGCCTCATTATTTTAGGGTGTGTTGTAGTCAATATACTGTATTTAGACCCTCTCTGAGAGAAAGTACAAAAACCACAATTGTGTGAATTCGCAGGATTAAAATCTCACAGAACTTAAAGTAAAGTAGCATACTTGCACAAATTTCACAGAACTGAAAATAGTATTTTCTATAACGTTTCTGAGTTTCACTTCTTTAAGTCAACAAACAGTTTAAAGTAAATTTTAAAAGTCCATTTTCCCCTTCTGGGAGTTTTTAAATTCCACTGCACTGTACTCACATGCTCAAATGTTATTTTATTAACAATTAAAAACACAAGGCAAAAAGAAAATGTATAAACAAGAGGAGGCTATTGAGCCCATTTGGTAGTTACATTACTAGTCAATGTCTTTGAGGATTTTTAATAGTTGTATCGGGTCCAGTTAGTCTTCTCTGTTCAACTAAAAAGGTTCAGTTTCTTCATTTTTTCAGTGCAGGACATTCTCTTAAGTCCCGGGATGTAATTTTGTTACAGAACTGTTAAAAGATTGTAAGCAATGTTTGCAATATAATTCAGTATAATGTGTTCCATACTGTAGTGTGCTATAATAAATAAAAAATATTCATTGATTAATAGTAAAAGGTTGAGTTTTGCAGCACATTAACTGTTTGGTTAAGACCTGAAGATGTTTCTCCTTTTGTAGCAGAGTAAAGCAGGATTTCAGTTTCACTTATTTGACTGTCAGGGGTGGCACAGTGGTGCTCAGAATTCACCACCAAAGCTTCAGACTTTGGGTGCTACCTGGGTGGCTATTGCGTTTGTACTGTATATTCTCCAGGTCTTCTCATGAGTTTCCTTTTGGTGCTCTGGTTTCCTCCCACAGTCCAAAAAAACATACCGGTAGGTTAATAAGCTTGTAGGAAAACTGCCCCTACTGTAGGTGTTTGCATCTGTGTGTCTGCCCTGTCCTGTCCAGGGTGTGCTCTGCTTTGTGCCCATTGTTTGCCTGGTCCAGACACAGACACACTCACACCAGAGCCAATTTTCCCAGAAGACAACTGACCTACCAGCATGTCTCTGGACTCTGGGAGGAAAGTGGAGCAGCCAGAGAAACTCCACACGAATACAGAGAAAATACAAACTCCATGCAGGTACTGTAGTATGCCGGGAATCGAACCCAGGGTAGTTTCTGATTTTGATGGGGCTTCCTTATTTGGATTTGTCATTTTCCCCTGACCTCCACTTTTCTTTGTGTGTTGCATTTGTGTCTATCCTGTCTTCACGTAACCACAAATGAAGAAAAGGTAAAACACCTACCAGGTTTTGCTATGCATAGAGACCTATATGTTATCATTCAGATTTGCCTAAAGACATGACATCATTAGGAGTTGTTTCCCTTCGCAAGAAATGGAAGAAAAATCCTTTTAATAAAATACTGCTTGAGTCAGCCCCCAAATGCCCTTTGCTTTGAGATCCGTCTTATAGCTGGCTATCAATGTAAACCTTTGTGGCTTATCTGTTCAACCATCAGAATGCTTTTCATTGAGTCACATTACATGCTCACAAAAAGCATACCCCTGATTAGATCAGAACACGGTATTTCCTCTGGAAATTACTATGTAGATGATCTTGGTGGTTTTCCTCTGTCATGAAGCTCAAATTTGCCACTAAAACTTTCTTCTGTGTCACTTTCTTGACACTTTGGTTTTTTAATTCTGCCATGATTTTTGGGGGGGTAAATACATTTGCAAACACCCCAGTAATGTGTCTATGTGCTCTTTGAAAACAATAATGCTAAGAATAATAATAAAACTACTACTAATAATTAACAATAAAATACTGACTGCAGACACATCCAGATCCACAAAAAAGTGCTACCACAACAATTAAAAATGACCACATACATACATACATGACAGATACAATATTGAAATTTGAAACTCTCAATGTTCATTTAAGAATTTAACAGTCAGAGGAAAAAATCATACATAATAATACGTCAACTTGGGAATAAATCTCTGGTGAATGCATACAGTACATTTATGGATTACCCTTTATATATTTGTTAATGGAAGGATTTTATATACACTGCAAAAAGTAATAACATAATTCTGTAACTAGGACATTAAATACAGTTGAAGTTATCTTGAACATTAAACAATTATCTTAAGGTTTCTCATGACTCATGGCTTACAGTAATTTACCATGTGTGTTTTTAGGCCCTTGACTCAGACTGGGATATAATTTACATGAAATTTGGTATGAAAACTTTGCTAAATACCTCAAAGCAGGTCTGATAGGTTTTAGTTTAAAGAAGAATTAAAAAACATTTTACTGGAGGATGTAGTGAACTATGTATTATTATAACAAACGTAAAAAATACTGTTCCTGCTTAGTGGTTACTATTTATCCAACTTATAGTGCCTTCCAAAAGTACTCAAAGCCTTCAAATTACAGTATCCTCTATTTCAGAGAGCTACAAAATAATGCATCCACATTTTTAAAACTTAATATTTTATTTTATAATATAATGCTTAAACTCAAGACTGCCGAGGATAACATAAGCTACAGACAATTTCAATACAAACTTTAAAGAGAAAAACAGAAGTGCTGTACAGTATGTTGATTGCTAAAGTACTCAGACCTGTGAACTCAGACCTGAGAATTTTTTGAAGCTGAAAAGCACCTTTATTATTATGTCTCTGTCGATTTCACACACCAACTTGGTGCAACTTTTTCCCATTTATCCTGGCTGATTTGCTCAGGTTCTCTTGATAGTTCTTGAGGATTGCTTATGGACAGTAGTTTTCATGTCTTTCGGCAGATTTGACTGAATCCTCAAGGACATTTACTTTCTTCTTCTTAACATGCCGTAGTGCTCCCACGACCATGCGTGATGATAGGGGTGGCATTGACTGAGCAGTGCACTATGTTGGATTTATGTCAGATGTTAACATTCCCATTTGGACCAAAACGTGAAATTAATTTGAGTTTGCAACAGCAAGGGATTTGAATACCTATGCAGTCCTTATTTGTCTTTCATCTTATCGGTTTGTTTCTTTCTTTTTGTTTCCTGCTATGAACATGTGGAGTAGAGTGGATGTTTATAACAGATAGGTGACTCTAGAAGAATTATTTATGCTTTGTAGACAGCTATTCCACCTAGCAATTCAAAAGAGTTCTAGGACCATTCTTTCCTTGCCAAAGCTTCTCGGATCTCCCAGATTCACCAGTGCATCCACGGACCTACTACAGTTACTAGTATTATTTAAGTGCCCTTTTTTATTTCTGGTGATCACAATAGTTAACACTGTCTACCCAATGCCCAGGGCACATTATACAAAACCAACTCCAAAAAACAACACATTCCAGACCAGCACAAGCACCCATTACAACCCAGTCACCAAACAAATGTCCCAAAATAATGCAGTCCAGCAGTTCTGTCCTCTGTGTAGCTCCTCTGCTGGTTCCTAGGCCTCTACTCCAGTCCTGGAGAAACAACCTGGTTGTTCATGATCCCCACCTCACCTTATTTTCTCCATGTCCAAAGCCAGATAGTGGGGGAGGAAGATGATGCTTGAGCCTTCCTCAGCTGCTCCCTGTAGAGCACTCGCTTGAGTCCAGTGCTATAATCTGTTCTTCCAAAAGTCCAGCTCTCTCTCTCTCTCTTTCTTCTTAACAAAGGCTCTGGACTCTTCCCCCATGGGGTAGAAAAGTCTCTGTGATGCTCTGGGTGTCAGCAGAGCTCACCACACAGGGCTTGTTCAGGAAATTGCTCTACACAGACGGCCAGGTGTAACGTCGCTTTGTTCCATCACATCCTGTTCTTAGGCATCTCCTCTCGATCACAGGTCCAGTTAAAACTGTATACAACCCCACAATGGTGTGGCAACTGCTAGTGTGGGCCTAAGTGGATCTTAGGGCAGGAACACAGAGGATAAGGCGTGAAACTGTATCAAGGGTGTCACCAGCCCAACTTAACATTGCTCAGCCCTTGACACCTGGTGTTCCCCCAGACACCTATTCTCTTCATTGAGTGACATATAACGAGAACAACTGCTATGACTGTACGTTTTTAAGCAACAACATGTGAAAACTGTGCAATGGTCTGAACACTTCTGTAAAGCACCCTACATGTGTTGTAGATAGTTCACACGCCTGTGTCGCATTTTACGAGGTGTTCCACGTTTCTTCATGTACAATTGTGAATCTTTTATTTCCTTATTTACGATAGTATAATGTGCTGTAATAGCTATTGCACTTCAATAAGGCTCACAGAAGGATTACTTTACAAAGGAGAGTAATGCTTTATATTGTTATTCTGACCATTTATTCACTTTTCTCCAGAAAACTATTTTTCAATATTTTTCAGGGGTTATGCTATCCTTACACTAACCTGACTCCTGTATTGATTTGTGGTCTGCTGAAGGAGAAGGCCAGCATGCTATACTCTCTCAGTAAATGGCCTGGAGTTCACCAAGGCGTTCATTTCATCATGGCAGAACCAACAAGAGGGTGGAACAGGAAAGCTCTGGATAGTTTTCACTTTCATTAAGACTTAACCGGTTCCACAATCACAGAAGCAAATTTTCTGATTTCACACTTTGTGAAAAAGGAAGAACCGTGAGCATTCTCAAAACAAATCTGCACTGGGAGCGAAGAGACAATTACAGAGCATTTATGATATTTTGGACAGGGAAGACATTTTAACTCGATTAACAAATGACTCACCAGGAAACCTACAAACAAGGACCTTCCATAAAAACTCTTTCAAGAGTTGGAAATAGATGAATTTCTTAGCGTTCTGTTGATTGTTACCATAAAACCTTCAGTAACTATACAAAAAAGGCACCGCAATGCCCACATCAATGATCCAGACAACATCCCCATTCACCTGAGAGAAAAAGTTGTTAGCAAAAGCCAAAGGCATGTTAATTTGTACAGCAGATACTTATAGTGATACTTAGAGCTCTAATACCTAAGGCAGCTTTGTCCCTAACAAAATGGTAACACTCTGATTTCTTTTAGTTATTCACCCTCCAGAAAATGTGACAGTAACTGGAAAACTTGATAACATCATTCTGAAATGGAACACACCAAGGGAAGGCAAAAACTGTTATGAGAGCAATCTGCAGTATAAGACTCAGCATGACAAACACTGGCAGGTATTCACTCAATTTGCTTCCTTTATATTAAAGCTGAGTGTAGACTTTCAGCGGATGCACTTAGAGATATGATTTCTTTGGTGTACTGTATGAACTAGTCTGCAGTTTGGATTAAACTGACATGGAAAATAACCTTTTTTAGTTTCATATTCCTGTTTTGTGTAAATGCTAAAAAACTGTTTTGAGCCCCCTTTTTCCTTTGTCTATGGCACCTCTACATGTCATTTGAGTTTTGAAACTTAGCAATTCCCAAAGTGTTTCTGCTTCAACAACATGACTGGGAAACGTGTTCCATACTTCCACAACTCTTTGGGTACAGAAGTGTCTCCTGTTCTCAGTTTTAAATGCACTTTAATGGGATCCACTTTTTAACTCTGTCAGTGTTGAATTAAAGGTAGATTATTTATAGTATCCAGTATTTCTTGTACCACTGTGACACATGCAATAAGTTAAAAAAAAAAAATTAAAGGCAAGAATTCAAATTTGCACAAATGCAAACAAGTTAGAATAACGTGAAGTAATGAAAAGAGAGTATGCCTTTTGTCTCTCCTTAATATTGATGTTGTATACTGCACAAATACAGGTATGTATTCTTGTGTCTCCAAACAGAGTAAAATTCTGCAAGACTTCTCTTTAACACTACAAAAAACAGACAATGAAAAATGCTATTTGTTCCGTGTGAGATTCAGATACAACGATATTTGTTCTGGAAGCAACTGGAGTGAATGGAGCCCTCAGATCACTTGGAGAAATGGATCTGTTATAGGTACAACTCATGCATTCAGCAGACACCAACTTTGTTTTGGTAGAGCAGGCTGATATATCTCTTGGGTGAAAATAACCTTCTGAAGTGCATTGAAGCAGAAATTGATCTTCCTGTAACAGTAAGAAACAACGGCATGCACGCTAACAAAATTCTTCACTGAAAACAGTTGACAAGCTGCAACGAATTATTATGAAAAATATTTTTTAAATTGCAAATGGCACTAATTTAAAATAAGAGCATCATGCTCTAGTTGTATAAAAAGTGCTTTCTGGGTGCAGTCAGGAGAAGTTCTATTTAGTTGCCTTTTACAGTAAATGTGCTATTTATATATAGTAGCAAAACAATGATTAACAAATACTATTTTTGCATATTTTACTGAGTTTAATGTATCTAACGTTATTCATTCTAATGATATTATTTTTTGTCCTCAACAGATTCCTGTCTTGTATATAATTATAATCTGAAATGGTATTTTTCTCCACTTATAATTTTAATTCCTGCAGTCCTACTGTACTGTATCTTTAAAGTAAAACGGTAAGTTGCTATGACTATACTGTGGCTCTTCCTTGGACTCACACTAGAGTATGACTTGTAAGAACTACAGTACAGGAGCAGTTCACTACTTTAAAAAGAAAATTCATTTTAAATCACAACAAAAAAGAATGTATGTTGTTTTATTTTTATTGGTATTATTTTGTTTCTATTGAACAGCTATACCTGATCTAAATCAAACCTATATTTTGAAATGCTATAGAACTGAGACTTAGATTGGCAGATACTTACTGTATGTTATTTGTAGTTTTTCTTGATTTTTGTAACTTTGTAATGTGATGTTACCATTTTATAAACTGTAGCATCCACAAAGCAGAACGAATAGAAGTTCACAATACACACATACTGTACCTGTATCAGAGTAGAGTATTTGTAGAGTGAATACAATATTAGCATTGATCATTTTCTATTCCAGCATTAGGAGGACTTTTCTGCCTCAGATTCCTGATCCAAAGCATATTTTTGAAGAACTATTTAACCATGATGAAGCTTTGCAGGTAAAAAGTTCACAAAAAAAGATTTTCATGTATCAAGGAAGTCAGCCAAAGAAATGACAGATTGTCATTTTTGCTAAAAATACATGTAGGCATTTACTTAAGAATGGGTACAAAAAATAATGCGGGATGTGAAGCACTTCCCTGCACAGAAATATACATTTCTTGGGTAAAATTTGTATAATTCTCTGCGGCAATATTAGAACAATATTAGTACTTAGAACAAATATGGTTTAATAATTTAGCTTTATCCAACAGAAAATAATTATCCTGTTTGCAGCACACACTGTGTAGGGACACACAATTTGCAATGATAAATCTCATCATTTCAAAGTGTTTAATGGTCTTTTGGTACCCCACGTTTTTAAAGCAGTTTGTACAGTAATTAAGTCCAGACATCCACCCATTTACCCAGTACAGATTCACATGGCAAGCAGGAGCCTAACCCAGCAAGCAAAGGGGACAAAGTGGCAGGATGCCAGTCCATCACAGGTCACACAGACACACACCAGGACCAATGTCACAGATACCACTTAGCCTGCCACTGTGTCTTTGGACTGTGGGACAAAACTGGAGCACCCAGATGAGACCCACACAAACATGGGGAGAACATACAATAATCAGGCAAATAGCAGGCCAGGTCCAGAATTGAACCCAGGACCCGACCATTGGAAGGCAGGTATGCTAACTACTTATACCACCCTGCTGCCCAAGCTCAGACATGAGCGTACAATTACGATAATACTTTTTCCCCGAATATTTTTTTTCAAATTTTGGTTTCGCCATTACCTCACAAATCATTGAATAAACTGTGGATGACCATAACGTTCCAGCCAGACTACGCCCATATGTAGTAAAAACTGATGCTGAAGTTATGTATGGTGGTTAAGGTCACTCTCACTTCTATCAATTCCCAATTTATGTTAAATTTTTTCTAGATTTAAAATTGGTAAAACAACATTATCATTATTTAATTGACTGAATGTAATGATCAGAGATGAACAACTGTATATCTTGACCAATGTGACCACTTTGGCTAACTAATTTGGTATTTAGATTAAAATCTGATATACTGTACCCTCTTGCATTATAATACCACTACAGTGTGGGACCTCTGTATGACAGAAAATGTCTTTAGATAGCAGACTGTTTTGCTGAACACCTGATCGTGGTTTGTGCACTAAATGGCCACTGACTTGACCATTGACAAAATCCAAATTAATTTCATTCATCTCTGAGCTACCGTACTTAACTAATGGGTCACAGATTGTGAAAAAGAAAGGGACCACACATCTGGTTCATAATTAGTCAGTAGAGGTTTATCTGGGGGAAAGAGATAGATACCATACTTTAAATATTAATAAAGTTGTGAGTAATGTTAAAGATGTAATATTTATGCAGATGCGTGTAGTTTTTCTTAGATTAAACCTTTTTCCCTCCTGTAAATCTTCCTCTAACCTGGTCGTCTAAAAACACTTTTAACTCCTTTCAGCATGCTCTTAATTTAGAGGGTACATTAACTTATACAGTGAATTACTGTACATTTTCATATATTTTGGTCTTAAAACTGCTTATGTCCCTTATGTTACATGAAACTGGTCAGGTATTAAATGTTGCGACACAAATGGAGGCAAATGGCTTCATGTAAAAGTTTAATTTTCAAATAACTTTTGAGGACCTTTCTAGAATGTGTGAGTGGCTTCTTTGACAAATTAAAATCCCACTTTCCATTAGGAACAATAAAAAAAAAATTCTCCCACATGTCAGGTTCTAAATATCCAATTCAGTTCTGTAAAATTGTGTTTAATTAGTTGGTTGGCCTTCTCTTTCAGTTCAAAGATTGAGACAGTGGAATTTTTAAATGTATAGTCCTTGCTGGGTAAGTCATTCTCTTACCTTAGCACTGATCTTACTATTTCTTATTGGACTTCTAGTCTGACTGTATATTTCCCTTATACAACTTACACACCTGTAGCACAACTTTTCATATCCTTGCTGAAGGTATTTTGCCACATAATCTTTGAAGGCATTTCCAACCAACTTTAAACCACCGTCTTTAATGATGATGGTTGAATTCAAGAGCAAAATGAAGATAGTTTTGACAAAAATGTGTTCCGCAGTTTAATAACTACATTTCTTGGTTGATGGATTACATTCTGTCAATTCTCTTTCATTACATTGTTTCAATGTGTGGTGTATGTAAAGTATTTCACTTTCTCTCTGTATTTATTGTAATGTACAGTATGTAATATTGTAATATAAATATAATATGTTTTACTGTACTATATGTTTTTGCCTTGGCCTTCTTATTGAAGTCTTGCTTTCCTGAAGGTAAATGGTCTGACCTTATAGCTAAATAAGCAGAAAATATTCTTTATTTGCTGTCCTCGGAGGCAGATGGGATACATTTTCCTTTCATCAGTACACTATTTTTTCCTCTATTTTTTTCTTCTATTTTTTCCCCCTACTGCAGTGTCCTGGTGCTGTCAGAGACAACTACAGTGAGTGTGTGCCAACGGAGATTGAAATCATCTGCCTGGAAAAGGCAGAAAATCAGAATGCTGAGGACACAATGACTCACAGCAAGGGCTCAAAACAAGACAGCCGCAGAACATCCTCATCTCTGGGAACCTCCAGTGAAGAATCCTCTAACCAGACAGATAGATTCAGCTTCCCTATGGACAATAGTGCATACGTGATCTGGTGAGGAAAAGAGAAGGTCTTCTGGTTTTACTTTCATGTCTAAAGACCAGAAAAATACAGGAGTGTGACAGCTGAGACCCAAGACAGTACAACGGAGCAGCCTGTAACCTAAACTGTGTAAATCTGGAGTATGCCGTAAGACTCTGGCATCAGAAACACTAAAAATCTGTTTACGAGCCTACAAGTTTTCTGTGCTTTTGTGTAGTGATACATCTAACATTTTTCTTTTTAACGTATATTTCAAAGCAGAGGTTCCCAGATTGCTGTTTGTGGGTCCCTCAGAGACCTCACACACTGTCTAGCCTGGAAATCTTTCTGCCCAGGATGAGTTGTTTCCTGGACAATCAATAATCAGCTTTGCTCTTTAACTTAAAGCTGTTGAAGCTGTAAGAGCTGAAGCTCTTAAAGCTGTTGAACTTCAGCTGTATTGTTTGTAAAATTTCAGTATCAGGTTTAGAGGAATGTGCTATATTTTCTAGGTTTATTTATGCTTAAAACAGGACTTCCAACGTTGATAGTTAAGCAAAGAGATACAGTTTATCGTACCCAGAGGAGTTTTCGTATACCTTGTTCAAAAAGTATCGAATAAAATAAGGTTTCAGACATAATTTCCATAGGTTTACAAAATGGCTTTATACAAAAAATAATTTAACATGCACTTCTTCCGTACTCACGGCCTTCCAGAATGAAAAAGAACGTTCAGCCGTCTTTACCTGGAGAGGAAGAAACGAGAATTAGTTTAACACAGTTAAACCTACTTATACAGTAACTGTTTTATTTTCTCTCGCACGGATCCCCCCAGTATTTGCGTGGCTGGACTGGATTCTTGATGTTTTATTACAATACGAAGCAAATGTATCGCTTAAAGAAGTTTACACAGCGATAAATAACTTAAGAATGGGAAAAACAAACAAACGGGGACCAAAACTAATTGTACTTTATGAATGAAATAAAATATAAAGAATTCTAGTTATCAATAAAACACAGTTTATGTGCCTGATCACGAATTCGGAGATTTCACTTAGACGGATAACTGGATTCATCTGAGAGATTCTAAAGTTTCCAATTACCAAAATGACCAAATCACCATCACCACTTTGACACATCGACAGGCACAGCTACAGTATTACTAATATGTTTTATACTGTATGCTTTTTACGAATTTCGGATGAGTTCTATATCCTTAGAGCTCTGTTTAACCTCAGGTTGCTTTAGCTCCTTAAAGCAGTGAAGTACAACTCAGTACCAAAAGGGGGCAGTATGTCTTTCTGAATTTCACCTCAGAAATAATCTCAGTTGTAGATTTAATTATTCTCCACTCAGCGTTCTGGATTACTTTCTAAAAGGAAGATGTAGGTTAATATGAAGCCTGATTTAAAAATTAATGTGCATGTGCGTATTACGCAGGCAGATTCAGAGTGACAGAACTATTCAGTTAAAGCAAAGTGGTAAATACTTGGAGTTGTGCTGTAATTATTTATACACTTTTTATTCATGAAAGAAAATAAATTAGCATACCCGGTTGATAGACATATTCAGTATTTTTCTAAATAAATACAAACTCTCAAAATACTACAGCAATGAGATGTACTGTATTGATAATATGGTATTATACAGTATTTATAATATGTGTTAATAATATGAATTTATATTATAAACTGAATAATACTGAATTTAATTTATAGTGTTGTTTCTTTAATTGCAGAACAAAATGTGGCCCGATTCACTGTAAAAAATATAGAAATTAGGTAGTATATTGCAATATTTCTTGTAATTTAAAAATACAAAACTAACAAATAACAATGTAATTGGTACAAGATATATACATTCCAAAGATGCATGTCTACAACTTTAAAGTTTAAACCATAATGCTGAAGCAGGCTTCATACCCAAAGATTACTGTATCCTTTGTGAGAGTATTTTCTTCTGAGTACCTGGTAAAGTTAAATTTACCTGTACAATTCTGTTGTTGTTGCTATAGTTCTTAATGCTATAAATCTAGTCATTATTAAAGCTGCAACAAAGTGGACATAAATTAAAAATCTACAATTCTTTGCACATTTATATGTCTTAATGAGTTTTTGGTTTACTCGTAGATGCATACCATAAGTATTGTAAGTAAAAATAGGTTACGTAGGCAGCTCTTCAAATTGTACTTTGAAAAGTTTTTAGTGTTGACAAATTGTTGTATTTAGTTTAAATACTGTACACAGTTTAATATTGCTTGTACACATGGAGGTACCAAACAAATCCTGGTTTGGGTCCTATTCATAGGCAATTTTGTTTTTAAGTTTCTTTTAGTAGACTACTTGTCTGCTTCTATAAAGAAGAGGCTAGCTTTTTTCAGATCAGTGTTTCATCTTTTTTTTTCTTCTAACTCCATAGTGGAGTAAACTTCCTTTGAAGAACAAACCTACAGCCTGAGGGCAGAAGTGATTGAGCAAAGTCCCTCACTGCTAATAAGTCCTTTGTCTTCAAAGGTGCACCTGTGTGCAAATATTGAGGTTCTGTAGTAATGACAACCACCAAATCTGTTTCAAAATGTTTTTTTTTTGCAACTTGAAGAGCTAATGTACAGTATATCTCTTCAAAAATGGCTTGTGTTGACTGAATTTACTTCCTGGTTTATTTCTCTTCCACTTAAGTGTACAGTTAATATTATTATCTTACAAATTTAGCATGCCATCACATATCCAGGACAACTTCTACAGGTGCACTATTGAGAGCATCCTGACTGGTTGCATCACTGGCTGGTATGGGAACTGCTCCGCCTGGGATCGCAAAGTACTGCAGAGGGTGGTGAAGTCAGCGCAGCTCATTACCGGCTGTGAGCTACCAAACATCCAGGATATCTACTCAGCTAGACGTCTGAAGAAGGCCAGGTCCATTCTCAAGGACCCCAGTCATCCCAGTCACAAACTGTTTTCCCTCCTACCGTCCGGTAAATGGTACCGAAGCATTCGGTCCAACAGACTACAAAACAGCTTCTACCTCCAGGCAATAAGACTGCTAAATAGCCAACCTGCAGCTCCTTTAGCAAATCACCTGTAATGGCTACATGGACTCACACTTTTCAGTGTATTCAGCATAAATGCACTACTTGTATATATTGCATACACCATGGACACATATTGTAGCTCTACTCATATTGAGTTTTATTCAATTTCTATTACATCTAGTATTATGTAACCTTATTTTCGGAACCTCAAATTTTGTGATTTTTGTGTTTTTGTGAATTTTGTGATTTTTATGATTTTTGTAAACCCGCAGAAAAGAAATTTAATTGCCAGCAACTACTGCTGCACACTGTATTGTTGTGCATTTGATAAATAAACTTTGATTTGATTTCTTTTCCTTCACCACACTTTCCAATAGATATTCCAGGTTTCTACTAATTTGTGTATTGCACAATCAGACGCATGGTTTTCTATGGTGGATGTTGATAAAGGCTCTGTAACTGTTAATTGTTTTTCATAAGGCAGGAAATAGATTAATTAAATTAAATTATGAACAATTTTAGTTCAAAGAAAAACATTAGCCATTGACAAATATTAGTATGACAATAAGTGGTAGTAGCTGTCGTTTAAATCAGAACGATATGAAATTAAAATGCTAGTAGTAGTTGTTGTACTTTGTGTATACACATTGATTTTATGATTACAGAAAATAATATTTTTTTAGATGTCTCTTAGATTGTCCATGTATGTAGAAAGGCTGGTAATAATCAGTTAAGCATATAGATTGAAAAATAGAAATGTAAACTCGAGCAGAAAGTGAGGGAAAAAAGTTTTTTAAACAAAGCTGTTAAAAATAAAAGAAAACTAGCAGAGATAGTCTCGTAGATCTATAGAATCTCTTCAAAACCCAGTCCATTGTTAATGCTGCCAAGGAACAAATGCAGAGATTTTTTTTATGTCTCTTTCTCTTTGAAATGTACATTAAAAACACTTTCAATAATGCTCTTTTTATTTTTATAAAAAGCTTAATGAACTATGTTTCATTTTTCTGTAACACACCATTGAAAAATCTCCTTTCATCTCATTTTCTAACCGCTTACTCCTGGTGAGATTTGCAGTGGTAACAGGCTGAAGAGGGCAGATCAGGCTTCTCTTTCTCCAGCAACGGTCTCCAGCTCCTCCTGGGGGACTCCTGGATGCTCCCAGGACAGGTGAGAGATATAATCCATCCAGTGTGTCCTGGTTCTGTCCTGGGGTCTCTTTCCTGTGGGCCGTGCCTGATACACCTCCAATGGGAGGCACCTGAGGGACTTCCTCACCAGATGCATGAACCACTTCGACTGGCTCCTCGCGATCCAGAGGAGCAGTGACTCTGCAAAGTCCTCCTGTCGTTGAGCTCCTCACTCTATTATGATCTGGGATCATGACCTTGTTGGGGTGGAGGGACCTGAGTGCCCCAGGCAGCCTTAGAGCCATGTTGTGTGGAGCTTTGCTCTCCTAATAGGGTTACCTTCGGCAAATAGGGGTGGAGTGGTGGCTCTCTGGCTCAGGACCTGCGCCTGTGGCTGGAAGGTTGCTGGTTCAAATCCTGCTGCTGGCAGAGGAATCCTACTCCATTGGGCCCCTGAGCAAGGCCCTTAATCCCAGCTGCTCCAGGGGTGCTGTACAATGGCTGACCCTGTGCTCTGACCCCAAGCTTCTCTCCCTGTCTGTGTCTCATAGAGAGCAAGCTGGGGTATGTGAAAAGATGCAAGAAATTGTATAGGGCTAATAAAGCAGCATTATTATTAAATTTCATTATTTTTAAATTGGTCTAAAGCGAAGGGCCAGACAAACTAGATTCCCATGATGGTTCCTTTAAAAACACAGAACACTGCCCAGGTCAGGGACATGGAGACCCATCCCTGGAGCCAGGTCTAGAGGTATTTTTTTCTCCAGTGAGTGTCTGGTAGGCCACCCACATAATCCAGCCGGGCTCAGTCCAAAATGACGATGTGGAGCTGTTGTGTGGGCTCACCACCTGCAAGGCGAAAGATTGAGGTCAGGAGCAGTGCCAGTCAGGTGATGAGCATTAGAAGGATGGACTAGAACTCAGCAGCAGAAACTGTCTCTTTGGACAATATTTCTGAATTTTAGGTTCCGTAGCTTCTTCCATTTCAATTCAGTACATTAATTTACTGAATAAATCATTTCCTTTAAATTCCCTACTTTTTATGTCTCAGTCTTTCCTCACAGAAA